AGTCTTCGGTTTATGGGAACAAATCCCGTAAAATATCACAAAAAATAGTGTTTTATCCTTACAAACTAGTAGACTATAATATAATCAGTGTAAAAAAAACTATAATATTATAAAAAATTTCTTTAGAGACAGTCATGACAAACGTCTTTCTTGTGTTCACCACAAACTGTCTTTTTGCATTTGGCACAGGTCATCTTTGACATTCTTTTCTTTTTAGACGTGCAAAGACTGCAATAACGCCTTTTTTTGGCTGAGGGTTCTTCTTCATCATCTGTGGAAGCCTGTACAGCAGATTTTGGAAGAATATTTTCAATGTTGCTTCGCACATGCCTTGGCAAAGTGGATGCTTCCAGTCTTTGCGTCATCCACGGTGCAGTCAGTTGATTATTTCGCAGGCGCCTCTGCGACGTAGGTTATCTTTCTCGGGTTAATGCCGCGTGTCGGACATCTCTGTGCGCATATTCCTATGGAAAAACCTGTCGCATTAACGGTTAAAGGAAAACACGTATTTTCTTTTAACACTATTTCTATCGAAGGTGTCAAGAAGCAGCTTTTAACAATCTCTATTTAGCACTAGTTTTACCAACGGAGTTAAAGGACAGCCTTTAATAACTTTTAATAAAAATTATTTCCTATGTTGTATGCTCTCCACGTAATCACTTCTCGACTTTTGGTACGGTCGTCATAAAATGAATTCGGTAAATTGTATATCTTTCGCAGTCGAGCAACACCTGTTCATCGCTAATGAATTCCTGCGTGGGGCAGATCATTTATATTTATCGTTCGCCAACCTTTACTTCTATGTTTAACCTGTCAGTCGGGCGTGATGAAATATTTAATCGTACTAAAATGACAACTCCAATGCGCACGATGATTCGTTTTTTTCGTCATGGAAATATTTAAAAGTAATATGTGGGGTACATTACATTTTACGACGTTCTAGTCTGTTAATACCTTGCGTGATCATATGGTAACGCTTCGAATTTGCGCAGATTAGTTTCAAACACCATTACAACGTCCTTTATATGAAGTAAACAAAGGATGCCAGGATATACTAGATAAACTATGTAACAAACGACGGGATTTATAAATAGATATGTATACATATATATATATTACTATACTACAATTACGCTTAAGGTATTAACAAATATGGCTAATTTAACAACTATGAAAGAATTATTGTAATTTGTATTAATTCTTGGTACATTCGAAATATTTGATTCATATATTTTCTAAATATGTCATAAAATATTTTGTCAAAATAAATAATCAACAAGTGAAAAAAAGCCATATTTTTTAATACCTTAAGCGTAATTGTAGTATAGTAATTTTACTAATATGCTTCTTTCGATAAAAAAGATCTTCAAACTGGAAAAAATACTGTACAATTTCAGTTTCTGTAACATATGCAAAATGTGACTTAAGAAAGATGAACGTGTTCTGTCGAGATTGTATCATACAGAGCAAGGTGACATCTTGAATTTGGATTCATAAGCATTCTCGCCTCAAGTAAGTTTGGATTTCGCACATTTTTGTGGAAACAACGAGACAGTAACGTGAGAGCGGTAGATCAAAAATACATTAATTTGAAGAACAGTTGACTATATCTTATATAAGTGACAGGAAAAATATGAATTGGAAAAAATCATTGGTCAGCTTGCATTTTTCAGAAAATTTCGGTTCTTTAAGTTCACGCAATTACTGTAAATTAAAATAGATTGGCGATATTAGGTAAAAAGAATCTCCGCGTATTGACTTCAGATGTAGAATTGAAAATAATGGATTTTTTTATAATCATTTGCCTTATTGATTGTTGGAACTCCCCAATACATTGAAACCATAATTTAGGACGTAGTAAGTATCTAGAACAACATACATACAAAATTTATAATCAATTGACCCTTCACACTCGAAGTCACCTTAATTCTGAAGCCAAAATAGTTTTTCTGATTTACAGTATATTTCATATGAATTTTAGCCTTCTGGCTCATGCACATACTACTGTGATCAAAAAGTAAGGTGAATTTGTTTATAAAATGTAAATTCTTTATTTATTCTTCCAAATCAATTTCATCCCCTTCAAAGTAATCCCCGTCCGATAAAACGCACTGTTTCCGACGCTTTTTCCAGTCCTCGAAACAGTCGGAATAGTCTTTTTCCGGTATAGCCTTCAAGACCTTCTTCGATTCGGTTTTTATCTCCTCAATCGTGTCAAAACGGCGTCCCCGCATCGGCCTTTTGAGTTTGCTGAATAACCAGAAGTCGCACGGAGCCAAATCAGGCGAATACGGTGGTTGCGGAACGATACGAGTCGAGTTTTTGGCAAAAAAGTCGCGAAGAAACAATGCAGTATGACATGGCACCAATCGAGACTTGACGCGTTTGAGACACAAAACATCCTTCAAAATGGTTTGGACTGAGCCAAATGATATTCCAACACTATCAGCGAGGTCTCTTATTGTCAATCGACGATTTTCAAGCACCAAATCTTCGATTTTTTGGACGTGGCCCTCGTCGGTAGACGTTGATGGTCGTCCAGAGCGCGGTTCGTCTTC